AAATAAAAATTAAATTTAAATTTAAAAAAGAAAGAAAGAAAACCAAATTCTACACCTATTCCTATAATCAGGATGTGAGTTTTTGCTTGCTTACCTAAATTATGTTATTAACATTTAGTATCCACCAAATACCACACTATACCCTACAATACCCAATACAGCTTCTAGAACACTACAGGTACTCCAAAAATGGGATTGCTATTGTTAGTGAATAGATTCTATAAAAGAACAGGGCAGTCAAAGTCAAACATTTATATAGGCCACCCACTATTTGCCAAGTATTTTGCTAGTACCATGAATATAAAAATGCAGTCCTTGTCTTCAAGGAACTTACAATGAAGAGGGACAAAAAGAACCACATAATTATAAAACAACAGAATATATGCAATAGCAAAAAAATATGCAAAGTGCACTGGAGCACACAGGAATAGTGGGGGTGGGGGGCTGGGAGAGCATGTCAAGGACTATACCCCAGGTCTGACAAGGAATCCCTTTCTTGTTTCTAGTTAAGAGAAATTCATAAACCATTATCTGAAAAAGCATCCACTAAAGTACAGCCTCACCTCATATTCTCTAATTTTTACTTCCACTCAATTCCATCCATCAATTTCAAAGAAGGGAGAGAAAAAAAGAGGAAAAGACAACTTTAAGTTGGCACAGGAAGGGTTTAAGTATCCTTTTACTCTCCTACAACCATATAAAAATTGAAATCGCATTTTTCCAAATCTTTCTTACTCATGATAAAGACTAGATGTTTTACAAGTTTACAAATCATCCCTGTTTTAGGCCTTGCGTAAGATAAATCACCAAAACCTATTCAGTATGTATGCTCTTCTATACCAGCCAAATAGCGCCTCTGTAGTTATTTTGCTTAATCCAACTAGGCCAACGAGGCGTTCAAAACCTTAAATACTGAATAAACTTTAGCAAATTTTCTCTATCAATCCACACTCTTATTCAAGACATATTCACTTAGTAAATTTTTACAATACTGACATTCAAAAAATGAATATTTGGCTCTTCCTTCTAAAATAAACCTCTGTGGGAAAGTGACACATCCAACAGCTACCAGTATAAACGAAGACCCATGGGAACAAAGAGACTACTATTTGTATCCTTTCATGGATATCTCACTTGACACTTCACAAAACAATCCTGTGTAATATAAGATTACCTCCTTTTTTTTTTTTTTACCAGTTTGCTCAATTAACAGGTCAGCATATAAAACCTGGATCTTCTGACCCTTCATTGTACCACCCTCTAATGTATACAAAATTTATCACTACCACAAATAAAGATACTTCAAAGACCCTAAACATACATATAGGAAGGAAACCGCTTCCTCACCTATAAAATGAGCAAAATGTGGCCTATTTGACATCGTTGAGCTAAACAAGGTCCCAAGGTGGAGCCCACTGCCCAGAAGTTTTACCCAACTAGTCTAACATAGAACTAGGCCTGGAAACAAGGGGAGTAGCATATATTTAAGGCTTACAAGTGTATAAAGAACCTTCTATTACCATTTGATCCTCACTACTCAGTTAAGGATTATCTTTATTTTTACATATTTTTGTGATTAGTTCAAGGTCCCCCAGCTAGTAAACAGCTTAGACAAATCTTCATAACCCTATTACACCTTTTTATATGAGAAAGTCAGAGTAGCTAGTGGAAGCCTAGACTACGTAAAACGGATCCAAGAATGTAAACACAAAATCTTCTGAGCTCTTCTTAGCCACTAGGCTACATGCAACTATTTTAGATCAGACAAGCTCCTCTTTCAGTAAAAAGAAAAAAAAGTCTTAAGAAACAAACCAACTACTTTTAAAAATGGACTTAAAAGGCACACTGTACATGTCTATACACGCATTCATATACATATAAACACTTCAATCACAAAGTATCTTACACTTTTGAAACATTACATAAATGAAACATAAGAATAGAACTAAATAGTCAAACAGGACACAAAGAGTACCAGCTTTTTGGTCTCAACCTTTCCACTATCCTGTATAAGTAATGTGCTTTTTCATTTTTTAAATATTCATCTTTAAACAAAATATTAACAGGTAAATCTATACATACATTTTACTCATGTACAATGCCTATGGCTGTTTCAGGAATATAAACTATATTCAGTTCTCTTGTGCGTAAGATTACATTATACAGTGAGAATGCTATTCCTAAAATTAAAGTCATCTGAAAGATATCACTAATACTTCTACCATAATATATTCACCATATCCTCTATTCAGAATTCTGACCAACTTCGTTGGAAATATTCTTTGAAACATCAGAACTATATCTTAATATAACCAAAAAGGACTCAACTTAAAAGGCTAACATTTACGTCCCGCAGTACTTGAAAGCATGATGAAGACTAAGCATATATTAATATAAACTGAAAAGCCCTTTCTTAAGACCAAAATATATCAAAGATTTTGCAACAGCACAAGATTTTATCCCGTACCAATCTCACTTTTACAGATATCTAAGCAAATCTACGTACTACCTGAGTTGCACAAACCACCTACCAGATAATACAGTTCCTTGCAAAGTCAAAAGCTGATCCTCTTTCCTGCTCTTAAATTATGCAAAATTAGCCTACAAAGAATTACTGTAGACTGCTTAAATAAACTTCAGACCTGTATACCAAGTTCTATATTTATGTTGCTGAAAAACATCAGTGTGGTTCCTCTCTCCCTACACTTCATCAGGAACAGACCGAAGAAAAGACCTTAAAAAAGAGAAGTTACTTTTTATTAGAAAACTAACTTTTCAGTGAAGACGTAATTTACCTGTGACAGATAACATTTATACATGACAGTGATTAAACTTTACTGAATACCCAAAACGGTAACTTTTTTTTAGTTCACAATCTTTGAATTAGACAATTATGACTGTTTTTATTTAAAAATAACCCACTTTTGGCCAGGCGCCTGTGGCTCATGCCTGTAATCCCAGCACTCTGGGAGGCCTAAGCAGGCAAATCAGAAGGTCAAGAGATCAAGACCATCCTGGCTAACACGCTGAAACCCCATCTCTACTAAAAATACAAAAAATTAGCTCGTCATGGTGGCATACACCCATAATCCCAGCTACGCAGGAAGCTGAGTCAGGAGAATCTCTTGAGCCAGGGAGGCAGAGGTTGCAGTGAACCAAGATCGAACCAGAACAGTCTCTTTAAAAAAAAAAAAAAAAAAAAAAAAACCAACCCACTTTCACTGTTTTACATTTCTCAACGTTAAGATAACTTTACCCAAAGTTTGAAACAACTGTTAACTTCTGGTCTGCAAAATCTCTAAAACAGAAACCAACAACATAAAATATTACAAGATACAACAGTATGTATCTTAATTACAGTTCCTGAGTTTTCAAGGACATCAGTAACTCGATTTTTTTTAAAAAGTCATGCTCAAACATATGACTAAAAGTTTTCAAGCCGTGTTTTACAAAGATTGTGTTTTTTGGTTTGTATAATTACTTTTTAAACTGATCGCTTATATTTCAAAGTAACTTGTGAGAAATCAAGGGAAAAGGCGTTAGGCACCTAGAAACACAACATTAAACTCACTCTTTAAGGGCATCATAAAGGTAACTTGGAATCAGAGAAAAAAATTCAAATTCACAGTAAGCCTAAGTGAAAATAGAACACAGATACATCACAAAATATATACATAGAAAAGCAAATTGAAATATGTTCAACCTTGATAGAAAAAAAATGAAAAGCAAAGTTTAAAATGGAAACTACTGAAATTGAGAAAGAATTCCAATGACATGACATTTTCTTGCCAAAGCGAAGGAATTTGTAGATTATATCATTCAAATCTCATTGTATTACATTATAAAGGTCTTGGCAACGGTTGGCCATTAATCTTTAACACAAAGGAGATTCAAATCCAAATGAACTGTAAGACTATCTCTTTCAAGAGAGAGAAATGGAGTAATTTACTTTGTCCACAATTGTTTAACCCAAAGGGAAGGCCTTTAAGGATGATAACGCAGAATGGATCAGCCTTCAGTCTACCAAGTCCCATTTCTCACGAAGTCTTGCACCAATCCGAAAAGAGAAGGTTATGGACACAAAACAGTCTTAGGAAAGGCTGGAAAAAAATCTCCAATGAATGACACACCACATCATGGTTTATTCTCCTACACAATTTGAGAAACAAAAAAGAAAAATATCACACCATATGTTTCATCGTATCAATTTTTAAAAAAAATGTTACGACAGTACATTCAATTCTCTTCTTCGGGGCCGCAAAATAATTTAGCTCCTGTTTTATTGATTACAGAGCAAAGGGAAAAAGCAGCTGCTGCAATGCAACACAGGCTGCTACAGAGGAAGGGGAGAAAGGGCTTTTCCAAACAGATCCCTTCCCCACCCCCGCTTACACATCCCTAACGACTTACTTATCCCAGCCTTTTACTGCCCCCACCACGTGAACCTAAGCCATTCTTTCCCTTCCCCCACCACCGTGAAATTTCACCTTTCACAGCGCCTTCACCTACCCCTACCAGAGGCACTTCATTACCCGCAGAGAATTCAGACCTTTCAAACTTTTCTTCCTTTTTAAATTAAACAGGAGAGTTAAGAGGCAAAAGTGCATGAAATTTTTACATATATACGGAAAAATACCTGTTTCCCAGCAACATACACGCTTCGATTCTCGAACCCCTCCCCATCTCCCGGGTTTCGCTAGCAAAGGCTGGGGGGAGGGAGCCAGGCGCAAATTAAATTTAGGAAGGGAAATCCTGGGTGAAAGAAGAGCATTTGAGGAAAAATGAGAGAACGGTGAAGCGAGACCCCCAAACCAAAGGGGTTGGGGAGGTTTCCAAGAAAGAGAAATTGGAAGGGACAAAAGGGGGAGGGGGGAGGAACAGACAGGAGACCCGGGGAGACGCGCCCGGCCGGGAGAGGGAAGGCGGGGTCCGAGGAGAGCGGGGGTCGCGGCTCCCGCGGCACAATGGCCCGCCCGGCCCCCGCCCCGCGCGCCCCTCACCTCATGGTGCCGGCGGCGCAGAGGCTTCCCCAGCAGCCGGGAGACGCGGGAGGCGCCGAGCCGAAGGGGGTCTCTCCTCCAGGGGCGGGGAGCAGCTCGGAGACGGGAGACAAGTGTCCGGCTCCTTCGACGGCCAGGGGCTACAACATCTCCTCGCACAAAGCCGAGGCGCCGGCCGGGAGTGTGAGAAAAGAGGGCGAGAGAAAGGCTGAGGAGGGGGCGGAGAGGCCGAGGCGCCGAGCGGGTCCCCAGGCGGCCGCCGCCTCCCACCTCCTCGTGGTCCTGCTCCTCCTCCCGGAGCTTCCTCGGCCGCCCTCGGAGGGGTGCCCGCCGGGGCCGCGCGCCCGGCCGCCGCTCCACAGGCCCGCGCCCGCCGCGCCGCCGCCGAGGCCGTGTGCAACCGGCAGCTGCTGCAGCCGCGGGAGGAGAGTCGGGATCGCCGCGAGGAGCCCGGGAGGAGGCGGGGCGCGCGGCGGAGGAACACGCAGGCGCCGCCCTCCTCCCCTCCTTCCCCCGGGGGCGAGGGGGCGGCGCGGGGGGAGGGGAGGCGGGGGGCCGGGCGCTCTCCCCCGCGCCGGCCGCCTGTTCCCCGCCGGACTGCGGAGAGCGGGTCTGGGCGGGAGCGAGCGCGGCGGCGGCGGCAGAGTGAGGCTCTTTGTTGCCTCCCTACCCCGCCCCCTGCGGCCCCCTGGGATTCGGGCCGGCCACCCCCTGATACCTCCCGCCGGCAGTCGGCCGGGGTTCCTCGCTCGGGGTTGTCCTTGACCGTCGGCCCCCTCCCAGTCGCCTCCCGCTCCCCAGAGGCTGGGGGAGTTCCAGGGCCTTCCCCGTGGCCGCGGTGCGGAGACCGAGGCGCCGAGACCTCCCGGGCGCCGGACCCGCAGGCACCGGCGTGGGGAGCCGGGACGCGTGACTGGGCACAGGGCCGGACCGGGGGACTCCGGTCGGCTCGCGGCCGGGTGCCCTAGCGCGAGGCGAGTGCTCAGCCCGCCCTCTTGCGGTCTCGGGAAGGGGACGAGGGAATGGCGGGGTATCCCGGTCAGCCCCACCACCCGCCCCCGTCGCGGCTGCGCCCAGCGATTCCTGCGGAGTTGAGGGGGGCATATAAATGGGAAATATGGTCATCATTGTTCCCTTCGCTCCTTTTCTTCCCGAGGAATCCCAGCTTGCTGCGCCGATGGAAGGAGCTGTGCACACTAGGTGTAGGGATGACTTCATCTCTTAACGAACGCAGCCGACTCTCGGGGAAACGCAGTCGCCGGGAGACGCGCGCGGAACCGTGTGATGCCACAAGAGTGGAAGAAGAGAAACGCCGCCAGTGGAGCGGATTTCCAGCGTCATTAGCAAAGAGGGAACCCCGGGCGGGGGCGGGGAGGGAGAGGAACTAATGATATTTCTAAATTTTCTGTCATTCCCAATGGTCTTGAAATCACCTCCGTTAATAAGCAGATAGAAAATACTGGCGAGGCAATCTCATTTCAAGTCAAGTCAGGGAGGAGGGCTTCTAGAAAGCCAGAATTGGTCGTTATGGGAGGGTTGGGGGGGGTTTATTTGAAAACAAATACAGTAATATAATTTTTAACGTATGAATTACAGCCCCTTTTTAGTCCCGAGACAGGGATGTACTTTCTGTATAAAAGTTGAAGAGAATGGAAAAGGGTTATTGCTACAGGGATCCTGTTACTGAAGGATCTCATCCAAAATGGAGGACCTACCATGACTCCAGGAATCCATTCAAAAGTTTTGGTGTTTTGTTTTAAGATGCAGGTACCATTCAAAAGAGAGTTAGGAAGGTTGGCAAAACAGACACTTCCAAATGAAAAGACAAGTTACAGTGATCCGTGGTCAATGCCTGACTTGTCTGTAATAGAACTGTGGAGCCTGTTTTTAAACATAAAAAAGCTTCCTGGTTTCAGCCAGGCGAGGTGGCTCACGCCTGAAATCCCGGCACTTTGGGAGGCTGAGTCGGGTTGATCACCTGAGGTCGTGAGTTCGAGAACAGCCTGGCCAATATGGTGAAACACTGTCTCTACTACCGGAGAGGCTGAAGCCAGAGAATCACTTGAACCAGGGAAGAGGAGGTTGTAGTGAGCCGAGATCACGTCGTTGCATTGCAGCCTGGGTGACAGATCGAGACTTCCATCTCAAAAAAAAAAAAAAAACCTCCCTGGTTTTAGAGCTCAATGCCGAGTTATTTTATTTTTGGAACCGGCAGCCTTAGACCAACAGCCCTGTAGAACCAGTGACCTGGAGGTATGGCACAGGATCAAGGTGGCCTCAGGTAGTAGAAAGCATGATGCCTCTGCCTTAAACATGGTGTACTTGAAGAACACTAATTTCCACCCACATATCTAATTACAGCTTACCATTACAGAGAGCATTTTATGCAAGGATCTCCAAAACACACTTGCCAGTCAAATGTAGTTACCATATTGCAAGTAGAGACAGGGAAACAGAGCACAAGTAACTGGATCAATTAGTGCAACAGGCATGATTAAAAAGCATAGCTAGCAACTGAGGGTCATTTCTTACGTATGTTTCTCCCTGTAGTTTGAAACACATGCCTCAACTATTATTCTCTAAATTAACCAAAGAATATGTGCTGTGGAGGCTTTTTTCTTGGAAAAATTATTAAGACATATTGAACCATCTTGGAAAAGTATTAATAAAACATATTCGACCACAAAGAAGTCTCACCAATTTGCCTTAGTCCATTCATAGCAATACAGTAAATCTGACAGAGCTTATGTTTCAGGGAAAACTCTTACAAAGGGCCAAAAGGGGTGGAGAGAGTGCTGTAATGACTCAAGCTATCTCCTGCCAGACACAAGAAACAAGGATAAAAATTCCTTACAGATGACTCCATAACCTACTTCTCATTTGTGAAAGTTAATCCATCCTGCGCTAAATAAGTGATATATCACATCATCTTTATTCTAACAGCAAATGTTCCAATGCTATGGGCACCAAATTAAGCAATCCAAGTGGAAAATGCTGTTCTTATTGTCTATGTTTATTAAAAATGTACCAGCCAAGAATTTTGGCTGCCTACAACCATTTCCATCCTTTTGGATGGCAGCCTGCCAGCTCACAAGTTGGTCATAGCATTGCCTTTTGGATTTAGATATTGCAATGGGTGGCCTGACCTCCCAAGGTCATCCTGTGGAAGGGCAATTTGTTGGCTGTGACAAAATGTTATTGCTTCATGTTCATATTTGGTTTAACATTCAAAGAGAGCAAAAGGGATACTTGAGGTAGGAAGTCACAGACTAATTCTGGTCACAAAGGAAATGCTGTGGAATGTGTTACCATATAGAATAAAAGAATTTTAGAGATGGAATCTTTAGTCCAGCCCACTCATTTTTCAGAAAAGAAATATGAGACCCACAGAGGTTAAGTAACTTGCCCACAACTTATACTCAGGATTTCCAATTATTGGTTCATTGTTCCTTCTACTGCATCAAACTAGATAAGAGTGCATTAAGGCAATAACAAGTAAAGCTGATTCTCTTCTCATAAACTCTGCTTAAAAATTAGGCCTGGGCCTGGCATGGTGGCTCATGCTTGTAAACCCAGCACTTTGAGAGGCTGAGGCAGGCAGATTGTTTGAGCCCAGGAGTTCGAGACCCAGCCTCGGCAACATGGCAAGATCCCGTTTCTATAAAATGTTTTAAAAATTAGCCAGGTGGCCAGGCACAGTGGCTCAATGCCTGTAATCCCAGCAGTTTGGTAGGCCAAGTGGATGGATCACAAGGTCAGGAGTTCAAGACCGACCTGGCCAACATAGTGAAACCCCGTCTCTTTTAAAAATACAAAAAATTAGCCAGAGCCGGGCGCGGTGGCTCAAGCCTGTAATCCCAGCACTTTGGGAGGCTGAGGCGGGTGGATCACGAGGTCGAGAGATCGAGACCAACCTGGTCAACATGGTGAAACCCCGTCTCTACTAAAAATACAAAAAATTAGCTGAGCATGGTGGCATGTGCCTGTAATCCCAGCTACTCAGGAGGCTGAGGCAGGAGAATTGCCTGAACCCAGGAGGCGGAGGTTGCGGTGAGCCGAGATCGTGCCATTGCACTCCAGCCTGGGTAGCAAGAGCGAAACTCCGTCTCAAAAAAAAAAAAAAAAAATTAGCCAGGCATGGTGCCTGTAATCCCAGCTATTCAGGAGGCTGAGGCAGGAGAATCACTTGAATCCGGGAGGCAGAGGTTGCAGTGAGCCAAGATCGCACCACTCTACTCCAGCCCAGGTGACAGAGCAACAGCAGGTCTCAAAAAAAAAAAAGAAGAAATATACTCAGTTCTTAACATCAAGTATATAGACCTCAACTTTCCCTCAGAGAAAATTTTTACCCCTGCTTTTTTTTTTTTTTTTTTTTTTTTTTGAGACGGAGTCTCGCCCTGTCACCCAGCCTAGAGTGCAATGACGATCTTGCCTCACTGCAACCTCTGCCTCCCGGGTTCAAGTGGTTCTCCTGCCTCAGCCTCCTGAGTATCAGGAATTACAGGCGCATGCCACCATTCCTGGCTAATTTTTTGTATCTTTAGTAGAGATGGGGTTTCACCATGTTGGCCAGGCTGGTCTGAAACTCCTGACCTCGTGATCCACCTACCTTGGCCTCCCAAAGTGCTGGAATTATAGGCGTGAGCCACCACACTCAACCTTTTTTTGTTTGTTTGTTTAAGATGGAGTCTCCCTGTGTCAGCCAGGTTGGAGGGCAATGGTGAGAGCTCTGCTCACTGAAACCTCCGCCTCCAGTATTCAAGCAATTCTCTTACCTCAGCCTCCCCAGTAACTGGGATTACAGACACTCACCACCACGCCCAGCTGATTTTCATATTTTTAGTAGAGACAGGTTTTACCATGTTGATCAGGCAGATCTTGAACTCCTGACCTCAGGTGATCTACCTGCCTTTGCCTCCCAAAGTGCTGACATTACAGGCATGAGCCCCTGCACCCAGTCACCCCTGCTTAATATCGCAGTAAGAAGCCTGCTCCAAGCCCTAGGTGTACAGTACACAGACATCACATTGGCCTATACATTTGTTAGCAGTGTGTACTCAGAAAATGAAACAAAACTGGCTTCTGTTGAAGATGAGTTTGCTGCGGGAGTGTTGTCAGTCTAGCTCTGAGGGTTCACTTGGAACATGCCTTGTTTAAATTCATCCGATAGCATTAGTGTAGGCTCGTCCTCCATTTATGGGCATGAGGAGGATGCATGACTAATGCTACTCAGCAGTCAGGAAATCAATGCTAAGGATTGTAGGCATAGTCTCCCCCATCACCGAAAAAAAAAGGCTCTCCCTCGAAAAATTGAGAGTTACTTTATGGATGGGTGAGGAAGAAAAGGTAGTTTGGAGTGAACCTGATCGTACACTTTCTACTTACACATAGCAGTATTTTCTTTTGTGGAAGTTAGTTCGCAGTATAATTTTTGTTTGTCTCCCCAAGAATGGAAAAAAAAAATAATGTAGAACATGATATTCCAGTAGGATTCAAGAT